TTGGCCGGAAGTGACGACGCCGGACGTATTTTGACGACACCGATAGATTAAGCTTGACATTTTGAACAACTTTGATTCTTTGACGTATTACAAATTTTCAACACATATTGAGATATATAGGAAAAACTTTTGGCCCCTCTAGGCCCTTAATTTTAGGGGCCAGTCCTTTTTTCGAGATATCATTTGAAAGATCTTTAAATTCTACACTTCTTTTGTTCAACATGCTTTAACAAAATATTTCTAGGTAAAAAGTTATTGTAGAAAAGGTATTAAAAATTTGGAAATACTTGATAGGACTATTTTCGGGCCATAGCGAGAGTCTTCGTTTCGTACTTCCAGTGGTTGAGATATACCAAATACACATCTCCAAAGGTTGCTCTATCAGCACTGAAAATTTCATGCTTCTGAGTTTAGTGCTTTTTGAGAAAACTGCTGGACAAAATGACCCTCTAAAACTCGCAAAAAACTCCGAACCGGAAGTGACGTCATCAAATTAAAAAAAAACGCCTTAAGTTCATATCATTTGTCATCAATGCTGAAAGTTTCATGAAAATCCATCGACGCATTAACGAGAAATCGCCTGCACACAATCGGTAAGAATAATAATAATAAGACTAGAGCAAAGCTCGTTGCAAAGCAACGAGTAGGTCTTCCGTCCGGTTTTGACCAGAAGTGCCGGAAGTGACGGAACAAAAGAAGGCATTGAGCTAAGTAGTCTCCAGTGACTTTATAATTTCAATTTAGCATCAAAACCTTCAAAATAAGCCATTTTTTGCTACTTCCGGTTTGACTGGAAGTGACGACGACGGACGGAAATACTACTTTTTATGCTCCCAGAGACATATGTAACCCAAAAACTTGTCAATAATGGCAAAAAATCGCGTTTTCCGACCACTTCCGGTTTGGCCGGAAGTGACGACGACGGACGTATTTTGACGACTTCATTAGATTAAGCTTGACATTTTGAACAACTTTGCTTCTTTGACGTATTACATATTCTATATACTTTTTTAGATATATAGGAAAAACATTCGGCCCCTCTCGGCCCCTAATTTTAAGGGCCAGCCCTTTTTTCGATGTCTCGTTTGAAAGACCTTGGAATTCTATACTTTTTTTGTTCTACATGTTTTAACAAAATATTTCTAGGTAAAAAGTTATCGTTGATAAGGTGTTAAAAATTTTGAAATTCTTGATAGGACTATTTTCGGGCCATAGCGAGCGTCGGCACTTCGTACTTCCCGTGGTTGTGATATACGAAATTCACTTCTCCAAAGGTTGCTCTAGCATCACTGAAAATTTTATGCTTCTGTGTTGAGTGGTTTTTCAAAAAACTGCCGGACAAAGTGACCCTCTGAAAATCACTAAAACGCGAAAATCTCAAAACCGGAAATGACGTCATCAAAACAAAAAAATATATGTCTAGATTTTTTCATGCTCTATCAGTCCTGAAAGTTTCATGAAAATCGAGCGAGCTGTTTTCGAGAACTCGCGTGCACAAAATCGGTAAGAAAAAAAACAATAATAATAATAATAACTAGAGCAAAGCTCGTTGCAAAGCAACGAGTAGGTCTTCCGTCCGGTTTTGACCAGAAGTGCCGGAAGTGACGGAACAAAAGAAAGCAATGAGCTTAGTTGTCTCCAGTGACTTTATAATTTCAATCTTGCATCAAAACCTTCAAAATAAGCCATTTTTGCTACTTCCGGTTTGACCGGAAGTGACGACGACGGACGGAAAAAGTACTTTTTATACTCCCAAACACATATGTAACTCAAAAACTTGTCAAGAACGGCAAAAAAACGCGTTTTCCGACCACTTCCGGTTTGGCCAGAAGTGACGACACCGGACGTATTTTGACGACTCTAATAGATTAAGCTTGACATTTTGAACAACTTTGCTTCTTTGACGTATTACAAATTCTAAATACTTTTTGAGATATAAAGGAAAAACTTTCGGCCCCTCTCGGCCCCTAATTGAAGGGGCCAGCCCTTTTTTCGAGGTATCATTTGAAAGATCTTGGAATTCTATACTTTTTTTTGTTCTTTATGTTTTAACAAAATATATCTAGGTAAAAAGTTATCGTAGAAAAGGTGTTAAAAATTTTGAAATTCTTGATAGGACTATTTTCGGGCCATAGCGAGCGTCGGCACTTCGTACTCCCGGTGGTTGTGATATACGAAATTCACTTCTCCAAAGGTTGCTCTAGTATCACTGAAAATTTCATGCTTCTGTGTTGAGTGGTTTTTCAAAAATCTGCCGGACAAAATGACCCTCTGAAAATCACTAAAACGCGGAAATCTCAAAACCGGAAGTGACGTCATCAAAACAAAAAAAAATATATCTAGATTTTTTCATGCTCTATCAGTCCTGAAAGTTTCATGAAAATCGAGAGAGCCGTTTTCGAGAACTCGCGTGCACAAAATCGGTAAGAAAAAAAACAATAATAATAATAATAATAATAACTAGATACGATCTCGTTGCGAGCAACGAGTGGGTCTTCCGTCCGATTCTTGATAAGATGAGATAAGATTTTGATTGAGATTTTCATTCTAAAATAATCATTTTCCATAATCTGTAAAAAGACATTGAACATTAAAGACTTTCAAAAAATCAACTTTTGGCCCCTCAAAGCCCCAACAATAGGGATCAGCCCTTTTTCCTTCATATCATCTGAAAGCTCTCATGATTTTGATGACTTTTTGTTCAACAACTATTCAGAGATTTTTTTTCGTTTTTTTGGTTATTCACATAAGAAATAGTTAGGGGCCAGCCCTTCAACTCCTTAATAGGGACGTTTAGCGAAAAATAAAAGATTGCATATTGTTCAGAACATGATTTTGAACATCTTTTGTTCAATATTACTTTTCAAAATATTTCTCACTTTCGAGATATAAAGCGTCAAAGATTTAGCATTCTGGCCCCTTTTGGCCCCTAATCATGTATTATACGACATTAAAATCATAATATACAGTGGAAGATTGTTGAGATACACATTTTTGCTTCAGTAATGTATAACAAAATATTGACTGTTAAAGAGTTATCAAAAAAGACATTAAGCCCCTTTTGGCCCCTAATTTGAGTGCCCAGCCCCTTTTTCTTGATTTCATCTTGAAGTTCCTAGGATTTTGAACACTTTTGGTTCAATAACTATTCAGAGATTCTTTTTCGTTTTCGAGTTATTTGCAAAAGAAATATTTAGGGGCCATCCTTTCAACTCCCTAATGGGGACTTTAAGCGAAAAATGAAAGGTTGCATATTGTTCAGAACATGATTTTGAACATCTTTTGTTCAATATTACTTGTCAAAATATTTCTCACTTTCGAGATATAAAGCGTCAAAGATTTAGCATTCTGGCCCCTTGTGGCCCCTAAGCATGTATTATACGACATTAAAATCATAATATACAGTGGTAGATTGTTGAGATAAACATTTCTGCTTCAGTAATGTATAACAAAATATTGACTGTTAAAGAGTTATCAAAAAAGACTTTAAGCCCCTTTTGGCCCCTAATTTGAGTGCCCAGCCCCTTTTTCTTGATTTCATCTTGAAGCTCTTAGGATTTTGAAAACTTTTTGTTCAATAACTATTCAGAGATTCTTTTTTGTTTTCGAGTTATTTGCAAAAGAAATATTTAGGGGCCAACCCTTCAACTCCCTACTGGGGACTTTTAGCGAAAAATGAAAGGTTGCATATTGTTCAGAACATGATTTTGAACATCTTTTGTTCAATATTACTTGTCAAAATATTTCTCACTTTCGAGATATAAAGCGTCAAAGATTTAGCATTCTGGCCCCTTTTGGCCCCTAATCATTATTATACGACATTAAAATCATAATATATAGTTGTAAAATGTTGAGACAAACATTTTTGTTTCAGTAATGTATAACAAAATATTGAATGTTAAAGAGTTATCGAAAAAAAAAACTTTTAGCCCCTTTTGGCCCCTAATGTGATGAGTCAGCACTTTTTCTTGATTTCATTTTAAAGATCTTGTCATTCTACACAAATATTGCGCAATATGTTTTAACAAAATAATTACACTTTAAAAGATATGATGCAAAATGTCGCAAAAAATCAGTCATGAATCGTGTCCTAAATTTTGACCCCAACCCAGCTTCCATACTAGGCACTTGCGGAAAATATCCTGACCCAGGTGCAACATGGCAACATGTCCTCTATCATCCCTGAAAATTTCAGCTTTCTAGCTTGAGTTGTTTTTGAGTTCCATCACAGACAAGGAGGTGCTATAAATTTCGATCAAAGGGCGTTAACTTCCGACCGGAAGTGAATTTCAAAAAAATGAAAAAAAAGTATAAGGTTTAGATAAAGATACATCTTCTCTGAAAATTTCAAGTAAATCGGTCGAGCCATCTCTGAGAAATCTTCTGCACAAAAATTGTAAGAAGAAAAGGCAAGAATAATAATAAAAGTGAAAAAGAAACAATAGAATAATAGAAGGGTCTTCCGCTGAAGACGGAAGACCCTAATAAAAATAGTGGAATAACAGTAAGGTCTTCCGCTGAAGACGGAAGACCTTAATAATAATAAAAATAGTGTAAAAGAAACCTAAGAATAACAGTAAGGTCTTCCGCTGAAGACGGAAGACCTTAACTAGAGCAAAGCTCATTGCAAAGCAACGAGTAGGTCTTCCGTCCGGTTTTGACCGGAAATGCCGGAAGTGACGGAACAAAAGAAAGCAATAAGCTTAGTAGTCTCCAGTGACTTTATAATTTCAATTTTGAATCAAAACCTTCAAAATAAGCCATTTTTTGCTACTTCCGGTTTGACCGGAAGTGACGACGACGGACGGAAAAACTACTTTTTATGCTCCCAGAGACATATGTTACCAAAAAACTTGTCAAAAACGGCAAAAACGCGTTTTCCGACCACTTCCTGTTTGGCCAGAAGTGACGACGACGGACGTATTTTGACGACTCCAATAGATGAAGCTTGACATTTTGAACAACATTGCTTCTTTGACGTCATTCGGCTCACCTCGGCTGACTACGGTACCCTACATCAAACCTCGGCTGTATGATCTAATTTGATATCCCGCTACGCCGGGCTTTTGTAATGCGGTCGCTGGTTTACTCATTAGGAAAAACTGACGCTACAAAATAAAGTTGTTTTAAAATGGCGTCCTTTGACGAATGTTTACAATTTGCAATACACAATTGCCCCATATTACGCGAGAAGAGTTTCGAATTGAAAGAAAAACAACTGCAGACGCTGAAAGCTTTGTATGAAGTAAAAGACTGCATATCCGTTCTGCCAACAGGTTACGGAAAGAGTGTAATTTTTCAGATTTTACCGTGGTTTGCCCAGTGCATGCGCCAGAAAGACAAGCCAATGACCGTGATTGTTGTTTGTCCATTGACATCTCTAATGCAGGATCAAGTGCTCGCTCTGAGAAAGTCAGGAATAAATGCATGTAGTGTGAGCATCACAGGTGTGTTTTTAAGTCAAGTATAAATATTGAAAAATTTAATGCATCTATTGCCCAGTACAAGCTGATCAGATAAAGAAATGAATTATTGATTTAATTTTTCACATGAACTTATATAAATAACACCTCAACTTTATACATATTAGGTACACATGGCATTACATTTGAGGAAACAAATGATGAAAATTCAGGCGATGAAGGTACTAGTCAACAATGCACTATTGAATGTGATGTACCATTCCAACAATTACAGGCAGGGGAGTTTAATCTAATTTATTCCCATCCAGAAGCCCTGATGAAAACTAGATTCGCAAAAGTTTTAAGATCAAAGGTTTATCAGGATACAGTATGTGCAGTAGTGATTGACGAGGTCCACATGATTTCTGAATGGTAAATTTTTGGATTGTTCACAGTAAATTGTAAAAATATTGTTCCATACAAGATTTGTTTTATTTAAATTTTCTTGTTACATGTGTGGTACATATGAATAACTTTAAACAAATGTAAGAATTGAGATGTTAAAGACTCATAACATATTTTCTGCATAGTATTGTCTATCTAAACTCTTAAGTAGTATACTTATCTCTTGTTGTTCGAATATGTATGAGGGTTCGATTCCCTCCCTAGGCATTTGAATAAATCTAGGCTGGTGCAAAGTGGGCAGATTGCCTAGTGGCCCCACATAGTCGAAACTGAACCAAGATAGAACTCTTTATAAGTTACTAAGCACTATTTAATAAAAATCCTGCATGGATCCATTATCTTCATTTAATATTATTATTTTTTTGTAGGGGAGAAGGGTTTCGTCCTGCCTTTATGAAGCTTGGGGACTTGATATGTGTTTTTGAAAATGCTCTGCATTTACTACTGACTGCAACAGCAACACCAGGATCTGTTAAAACCCTTACAAAACAAATGAACTTTAAAAATCCTGTTGTAATTTCTGAAAATGTAGACCGTCCAAATATCTTTTTGGAGACAAGAACCAGGCTTCCAAACACAAAAAAATATGAAAAGTTTGATGACTTGATCGAACCTCTTGTCACTGAATTAGGAGAAAAAAGACTTTCTTTTCCTGTAACAATTATGTATGTAGATAATCTTGAAGCTCTCGGGTATTTTTTCCAATATACTGTCTACAAACTTCAGGACTTAGGCTACGAAGGGGAAAAAATTCCTCAAAATAGAATATTTGCGCAATATCATAAGGACTATCCAGAATCCATGATAAAAATTATAATTCAAGAGCTTACTAAACTAAACCCTAAACTGCGTTTGGTTTTTGCAACAGTTGCTCTTGGAATGGGTGTTAATGCACCTAGTGTTGAGCGGATCATCCACAGTAGACCCCCCACAACAATGGAAAAATACCTCCAGGAAATTGGAAGAGCTGGACGACTAGGACAAGCAGCCACAGCTACAATGTTTTACAACCAAAGTGACATTGCAAAAAATAGAAAAGGAATGACAGAAGATATGCGAAAATACTGTACAAATCAAGGTTGTTTAAGACTCATGCTTGTAAATTACTTTGGATTTGAGAGTCCAGTGTATTCAGGAGATAAGCTTAATTGCTGCTCAAATTGTAAAACACTTGTTCAAAAGATTTAAAAACTTTGAATTTTCATATTTGCATGTTAATTCATTGGCTCGATCTGTCTTAATCTACATGATGGACATTACTGGTAGAATTTGAACCCCTGAATTCTTTCAAAAAGATGCCTGACAGAGTGTTAATTACGTGTTATGAAACATTTACATTAAATTAATTTCTTTTGGACTTTTGAACTGGCTAATACTCTTTGAAAATTGAGAAAATGAAAATAAAAAAACAGAAAACAATGAAATAACTATATCTGATATCATTATATTGATTATCATTCTGTGTCACTTTCATCATCACTTGTTGCTGGTGAAGGGATAACTATTCCTCGTTTTAGTCTTTGTACTTTTTTCATTACTACATCCTTGAAATGGATTGTATCCACAGCAAAAGGGGACATTGCTATTTTTGGAAAGTTCTCTAATTGTCTTCCATTTGTTTTTTCCCAAATTTTCAAAGTAAGAAGTTCTTTGAGAATACATTTTACATCATCCTGAAATGAACGCTTCTTGTGATGTGTCTTTTTATCGCGAAGACCAAGCATTCTATCAAAATTACATACAACATCTTGTATGACTGGTGCTGCCTTTGTAATTGTAACGATGGCTTTTTCAGTTTTATTGGAGCCTAGCCCCCGTATTAACTCTTTTAATACCATAACTTCGTTCTCTTTCTGCAAATCTGCTGCTTTGTTTTCACCTCCACGTCCACTAAGATTTACAAATGAACCATATCTAACTTTCATTGCCATCTTTTCTGACAACATTATCTCTGTTTTTAGAATATAATCAATACACTCCTCCAAATACTTGGAGTACACTGAATGACTGAAAAATATTGGTATACAGAATTTCAGAGTTATGTTTGTTCTACAAGAATCTCCCTCTTTGATGGCATCTTTTAATGTTAAAATTATGAAATACCACTGGAGAAATTGCATGACATAATTTTGTAAACCATCGGCGTCTTCATCTTTGGGTTCTGCTTGTGAAATTGTGACTGGAATTTCATTATTTGACACCGAAAGAGTTATTGTCTCTCCTCTTTTAACTTGCTCTGGTGTTAGTCGAAATATGTATTTGGTATTGTTAATTTCTAGTTGGAAATTTAATAAGCCTTTTTCATTTATTGTGCTGTTCACATTGACACAGGCTCCCAATATATCCACTGTTAATGGAAATTGTGGCTGTAAAAAAAATGAAAAGGATCAAGATTCATTGATGTGAAAATGACACCATGACATGTTTATAAAGATAAAAACACAGAAACCACACTCAAATATACATTTAAATCATATACTCTCTTAAATATTAGTGCATACTTTTTCGGGAAATGCCAACATCAACTTGTCAACTATTTCTCCAAGTAGCTGAGAAAAAATTTCCTCCTTTTTTGGATTATGCAGCATTTTCATGTTTTTCTTTGATAATAATGGGTGCTGTGGCTCTTCTGTCAAGGTTTTCATTCCAAAAAAGTGGAGTATATATGACAAGAAGTACGCACAGCCAACTGTTAATATGAAGTCCTCATGAGCCTGAAGTAAACAATAAAACTTGAATTTTAAAATTATGATTAAACAGGTTCTTTTAATTGTATAATTAAATGAGCTCCTATAACAAAATTCTGAAGGTAACAAACTTACTTCAAAACGAGACTTTACTTTTCCATTGACGTTCGATCTTTCAATAAGCACCTTGATGTGGTAGAGTGTTCCTTTCTCTCTACCACTCGCAGTATTAAAAAAACGCTTGTACAATTTCTGAAAATGACGAGAAAAAAATAACATCCAGTTTCAACATTGGGGTGAGATTTATTTGATAAGAGGGGTTCAAATGAATAGAAATGTTCAACTACTAGCAATAATTTGATCTACCTCTAATAGATCCATTAATGTATGAAACATTTCCACAATCATAGGATCTAGGTGTTCTAGTCTGTCTGTCGCTGTCAAGGCCCCATCTTGCAATGCCTTGGCTGACTGTAGGCGGACTCTCGTTAATTGATCCCCACCAACTGGAACCTTTATATCATCAAGATCTGATGCTGAAATATATTTTAAAACAAAATATGATCTGACATTTCTGTTGAGAATTTTTTGTATTTTAATTACAGGTACCTGTACAAGTCACTTAAAAATTTAATTAATAATACAGGGATTTTGTGTATGTCTTGATCTGTGTTTCTCGAAGGTTTTCATTTTAAAAAATCTTTAAAATTACTTATACATCTTTAACTTAAAATTATTTTTGATTGTTTTATTTATTAAAAAAAAGAATACTTTATAAAGTATCACTAACAGAGACAGGATTAATTTGAGCTTTTAGAAGCTTACTAGATTATCAATAATATTAAGCATATTTCAAAAAGTACATGCACACCTCTTCCAGCTTTTGTATACCATGATATCAGCTGTTGTTCATAGGATTTCAAGATATGAATACAATCAGATAGTGATGTTTCATTCTTAAGCAAGACAGGTAAGATAAAGACTTCGGATTTTTTGGACATGGCATTCTTTTGATCGTGGGGAATATGTGCAGGTATAATTGTTTTCATCCAACTGAAATGGTCAAAGTACTCGCACAAGATCCTTCCCAAAAGAACTTTCAATGACTCCTTATACTTGGAGATTTCATTAGGTGATGGTACAAAGTTTTTGTATGTAATGTTTTCTGCATCACCAACTGGTTTTGAGTCATCAAGATCTCGAATATCAACTCTATCAAAAGTTAAATCAGTTGCAAAGAAGTGGTAATCTTGGTTCCTATTGTCCATCCGGACATCATTAGTGGTAACGTAGAGATCTAAATTGTCACCATTCAGCTTTCCGTCTTTTCCTTCAGCAATGCCTTGAATGATTTTCTCTGTTGAGTATTCCCCAAAATCATTTAAAATGTTTCTCTTGGTTTCATGAGACAAAGTTATATGCACCTGATTCAAGCGTTCAAGTATCTGAAATATATTATAAAAAGCATACATTCAAAATAGGTTTTTTTTGTAAACTCATATCAGTGATTCTTTTTCAAGATATAGATTGATTGATGAAGAGTCTAATAGATTTTTTTTATGCAATTAGAATTTTTTTTTATCTTTGTGATGTAATCATTGTGTGCCTTTGTTGGCTTTTGAACACATATAGTTTTAAATTTTTTTGTGTGCAGATAAGACTCTTTATTTATTACATATATTATCATAACTTATTTTTCATTTAAGAAGTATAAAATCAGTTTATTGGTTTACAAACCCTTGAAGGAAGGAACAGCTGATTGCGCCACATCTCTTATTCAATTGAATTTACTACTATGCCATGTATGTCTTCTGAGAAATCAAAATATTTATCAGTAAAAGAGGTTAGTGAAAAACAGAAGCAATAAAATACTTTTGAATTACATGCAAATAAACAAATACTGTAAAAGTGTTTATTGTGGGAAAAAAGGTAAGTTTTTCTGTGTCAAATTCCCCCAAACATACTCTCACAATATTAATATACTAATTCAGACTTCTGCAGTAAAGAAAGTGGCTGAATTAGTATAAACCTGGTAAACACTTTTACAGCATTACGATAAACTGCTAACTTTATAACATAATAAATGCAAACTTTACTACATGATAAGCAAACTTTATAACATGATAAATGCAAACTTCATAACATGATTGATGCAGTAACATTTTAACATGATTGATGCAAACTTGATAAAATAATTTAACTGCTCCCCGAAGCTTTCTTATACTATAGCTGTAGCAGGGTCAATCAAATTTTATAATATAGGAATACTAACAACTAAATAAAACTATTTAACTAAATAAATAAATTTATTTTCATCAAATGTTTTTTTAAGTATTCAACAATGGGTCATAACATGCGAGTGAAAATGTGGTTCAGAATACTTACCTTGTTGTCTGCATGATATCTTATGCATAAGGCAGAGTAAATGCGCTGTATAGCACAGGCTTTGACATTTCTGCAGTGTAGAATCATGCCATATATTGTACATATTGTGGCTAATTTTGATTCAGGAGACACTCTGTCACCTATAAAAAAAAAACGATATGTATCAATTTTACAATGGTAGTACTTAATTTATATAATACATGTATGCATATCTTTTTACTAAATCTGATGACTAATTTTTAAAAATTATTCTTACGAATAAAATAAAACATACCAACAGCAGCAAACAATATATGAAACAGTTCTGGACACTTTTCATTCATCTCTGAAGAAACATCTCTGAACCAGTTCTTCCTGCTCAGCTCACCTGGGTCTTTCAAAAAAAGAATGCTTTTCCCAGCTTTACAGACATTTTCTATAGATTTTGTGATTGTAGCTGATAACATTGTCTGTTTATTAAATGTTTGCATCAAATCTTGTATATCAGTTTCATCAGCAACATCGTCTGATTCATTCCTCACACTCGCAGCTTTGAATTTACAATAGGAAATGTGGTCCAGTGCTGTCGGAGTGGACAAATCATGGTTTAAGATGGAGGCAGTTTTCGAAAAACTGGGTTCAAAAGTTGAGGTTGTGGTATCATTGGCTGGTTCAACAAATAATTTTTGTCGTGATCTTTTTGCACCACCATTCAAATTTAACTGCTTCATTTTCTCCACAGAACTTTGAATTTGTTCAGCAACCGACTGCTTCAAGGACGAAGGTGGGGTTTTTGATAACCGTTTCTGTCTTTTATGTAAATTTTCAAAGTCACGAATGTTATCAACACACGCCTCTTTGAAATCAACAGACATCTGGCACTTACTTGCACATGTTTCGCACACATACATTTTGTCCAACAAGGACAATTCAAGTACAAGTCCGGTAAAATCTTCTATTGCTCTAACATAATTCTCTTTTGTTGATTTGAACTTTGTTAAACAGTGTAAACGTTTAGATGGAGACTTTTTACACAACAAACAAGCTGGATTAGTTGGTGGAATGTATAATGGTTTTACCGGTGTTATGGGCGCCGCCATTTTTGATGTTGCTTAACAGACGTAAACACTCTCGGAA